TACTTCCTTTTATCCATTCTAACCCGACCGCTCAGCAATTTCATTGAGTGCCCATGAGTTCTTGTGTTGTGAGAAAGGGAGAAAAGTACCTCTTTCTCTACTTGCTCTATCCCATGCATAATCTTATAAACCTCAATCATGTCTCCCCTCAGTCGTCATTTCTCCAAGTTAAAGAGCCCTAAGCGCTTTAACCTTTCCTCATAGGGAAAGTGTTCCAACCCATTTATCATTCGAGCTGCCCTTTTCTAGCCTTTTACCAAAGCTATAATATCCTTTTTAAGGTGTGGTGACCAGAACTGCACACAGTATTCCAAATGAGGTCGCACTATTGATTTGTATAGGGGTATTATGATACTGGCTGATCTCCCACTCGCCCAACTTTGACAGATCCCTTTGGAGTGCCTCACAATCCTCACTGGTTTTCACCACCTTGAACAACTTTGTATCATCCGCAAATTTAGCCACTTCACTGCTTACTCCCATCTCCAAATCATTAATGAACAAGTTAAAAAGCAGTGGACCAAGTACTGATCCCTGTGGTACCCCACTGCTTACCACCCTCCACTGAGAAAATTGCCCACCTACACTCACTCTCTGTTTTCTATGAACTAGCCAGTTTTTGATCCATAAAAGGACTTGTCCTTTTATCCCATGATTTTTGAGCTTACTTAGGAGCCTTTGATGAGGAACTTTATCAAAAGCTTTCTGGAAGTCAAGGTAAACAATATCTATTGGATCCCCCTTGTCCACATGTTTGTTCACCCCCTCAAAGAACACTAACAGGTTAGTGAGACAAGATCTTCCCTTACAGAAACCGTGCTGAGTCTGCCTCAATAGGTTTTGTTCATCTATGTGCCTACTAATTCTTTCCTTAATAATGGTTTCCACCAATTTACCCGGTATCGACGTCAGACTGACTGGCCTGTAATTTCCCGGATCTCCTCTGGAACCCTTTTTAAAGATGGGAGTGACATTAGCTACCTTCCAATCCTCAGGAATGGAGGCAGATTTTAAGGAAAGATTACATATTTTTGTCAGGAGATCCACAAGTTCACATTTAAGTTCTTTCAGAACTCTCGGATGTATGCCATCCGGGCCTGGTGATTTATCAATTTTTAAGTTGTCTATCGGTTTTAGGACCTCCTCTCTCGTCACCTCAATCTGACTCAGGTCTTTCAACACCCCTTCCGAAATCAGTGGTTCTGGAGTGGGCAAGCACTTCTCATCTTCCACAGTGAAGACAGAGACAAAAAATGCATTTAGCTTCTCAGCCATTTCCCTATCATCCTTCAGTACTCCTTTTACCCCTTGGTCATCCAAGGGCCCCACTGCCTCCCTGGCTGGTTTCCTGCTTCTAATGTATTTGAAGAAAGTTTTATTGTTGGTTTTTACGTTTTTTGCTATAAGCTCCTCATATTCCCTTTTTGCCTGCCTGACCACAGACTTGCATTTTATTTGCCATAGCCTGTGTTCCGTTTTATCAGCCTCACTGTGACTAGCTTTCCACTGCTTAAAGGAATCCTTTTTACCTTTTACAGCTTCCATTACTTTGTTTGTTAACCATGGAGGCTTTTTCCTATACCTGTTTGTGCCTTTCCTAACCTGCGGAATATATATATTTTTTAGCTTCTAGGATTGTAGTTTTAAATAGTTTCCAAGCAGGTGAACTGCATAAAGATGCTCAAGTTGAATACATAATTTTTTTTCCACTGCACCAATTGTTTCACTGCTTTTTCTTCTTCTAGTTATTGGTGGAGCCCTCTTTTTTTGCACCATCACAACAAGGGGAAACCAGGGGAAAATGTGTTTGTGCCATGTGGACCTGCTGGTGAAAACATGAATGGACCAGCACAGGCAATATGACCCTATCATGGAAAACCTTTTCTTTGTGGATCTACCTAGTATGTGGATTGGTGCATTCTCTTAAACTAAACAGGAAACATGCTAGCAGCTACTAAGAGTGACAAGCAGTGGGAGAAAGGTTTTCTTCCTTGTGCTCAGGCTACACTATTTTGAATTTGGGACTAAACTAGAAAGTGCCTCATTCACATATACCTGACCACCCATGGTAAATACTGGCATTTCATCTAATCACAGCCAACTTCACTTTCCCCATGTTATTTATCCCCTGCTTAAGGTCCCAGGGGCCAACAGTATATTGTCCTCTTGACCTATCCTTTCCTGGGGTGTACTGAAAAGCAGGGAGCCTAAAAAGATCTGAGCCAGCTCTGCATTCTCTAATGGCTTGACAAAAGAGGGCAGAAGTTAAGAAGTACAATTTTAAAAAGAAGTTCAAAGCAGAAAGCAAAGAGGGAAGTCAGAAGTAATAAATCCAATGTAATGGAAAATATAATCCTTCCAATCATATTCAGTGCAGTGTTCTGAATTAGATATTGTAGCTGAGAAAGGAAGTCCCCTGGCAAGTGTCAGGTAAGGTTAGCTGTCTTTGACCTTTTGAGCTGCCTGCCCAGAAGAGTTTGCTAAAGGGGAGCGAGAAGAGGCCTATATTGCAGTGCTCTAATATGCACCCGTAAGTTACACCTCCAAATGTGTGTTTATTTTACAATTAAACAGATTATTGAATAAGATACAACAGTTTATGTTCTTACGTTAGAGGAGGATGGCTTTTTTTTGTAGAAACGGGAAAGAGATGGGAAATACAATCGGAGAGTGTTCAAATCTTAATGCTGGAATGTAATGAGTGACTTTTAATGTTTTATGTTTTTAAGCCCCAGAGAAGCAGAATATTTCCCCTCTAAATTTCAATGAATTTTATTATTCGAATTGTGCCCACAGGTTTAATCTTTAATTAGACTACGTCTGGAATCTTATGTATGCTTACCAGAGTGTACTTTCCATTGGACTCAGTGAAACCTAAAAGTGAAAAATGAAAACACTTGGAAACAGCGAGACTTACAACAAGAGCTCACATGGACAAATGTAATGTGTGAATGTGAGACAACAGGTATAGACAGAAGTTCTGATGAGAACGGCAGCACTTTCCTCACACTGCCATGGTCTTTGTACCTGGCTTCTTTGCAAGACTGTCTACTTCACACATAACAAACATGCGCTGGGACTCCTTATGTGGGATGCAAATTTATTATGTGAATAGATCCTTTATGGCATGTTTGTTGCCCCAACACAAGTTAAAATGGCTGTCATTGAATGTGAACTTGGGAGACTAGGGCTGTGATCAGATGCACTAAATAATCCACTTTCTATGCACAGTAAAATCCAGTTGGAAGATGCATTGAAAGTACATTGAAAGTGGATTATTTAGTGTGTGTGATTGCAGCATCAGACACACAGAGAAGTGAAACAATACCAGTTCAGCCATGGCCTCACTGTGTGGTCTTGGGTCAGTGTGTGTTTCTCAGTTCTGCAGCTTTGGGAAGGCGTATCTGTGGCCTACCTCTTGTTGCTCCTCTGTAGTTGACTGTCATGAGACTTTTAAATTCCTCTGCATACAGAAAGTGATCTAGAAGTTATTAGTAATGCTAGTCTCTCCACTCCTACCCCAGAGGGGTTGCTGCCATGGAGACGCATTCATGGGATGCTATCTGTTCTTGTATTTTGGTGTTAATATGATAACTCAGAGGGGAGCAGGGACCTCATCTCACTTCCCACACACCTTCTTCCTACCCACTGTATGACAACCGTGTCTACTCAACCTTCGTTTTGTTTGGAACAGGAGCAATCTTTCAGTTTTCCCATTTCACCCTCACCACTTGGGTGCTGGTGAGAAATCCAAAATGATGTAAACTATGTGGGAACCTGCCATAGCTGCAACACAGCGGATCACTCTTGCCAGAGACTGGACCTCTCATAATGTGATGTGTAAACACTGTGCTGAATGGAAAATAAGTGCCATATAGCTTTGATTGCATGGAGAAGCTGTAAATGCCTTTCATGCTTCTGCTATAACGTCTAAATAGGACAGATACTCCTTCCCCTCTCCCCACAGGGATATGTGCCAGCCCCAGAGAGGAGGGCAGCACACACACACCTCAGTGAGCTGCCAGGAGAAATGAATCTGTCACACCTCACCTTCTTCGGTTCCCTTTGGTTTCTTTTCAGTGGTGTCCCAAACTGCTCCATGAAATCAGTGTATACAGCAAAGTTCCTCTGCTGCTTAATTCAGAGGAAACATTCTTACTTTTGGGCTCCCTGAACTCCCCCCCCCATATTTTCCTCCCTCTGTGATTTCTCTTCCTTCCTCTCTTGCTTTACTCTCTTTCTTCCCCTCCCCTCCCCTCCCCTCCCCTTCCCGTTCCTCTTCTGATTAATTTAGATTTGCATGTTGTAGATGCACCCTGCACATGCTCAGATGCCCTTCAAGGCTAAGCCCCGGGAAATTCCGGCTCAGATGAAGACTGCGGGCGCCCCTTTACCGTCCTTGTTCACTTTCCCCTCATCTTATTCGCTCCTTTCCTCCCTTCTTCTCCAGCACCCCCTCCCCCTTCCCATCTTCGCGGTCGGTCCTCCTCTTTCGCATTGTTCTCCCCACTCCCCCCCCGTCTCGGCTCCCAATTCATTCCTCTTCCGGCGCTGGCCGTTTCTGCGGGGCGCTCCCCCCCTTTTCTGCCTGCGCTCGCGGGGGGGGGGTGGCTGCCTTCGTTCCGCGCCGGGCTGGAAACGAGAAGTTGGAGGGGCCCAGATCGAGGCAATTGCAGTCGGGTGCGCCTCCTGCCCAGTCCCGGGCTCCCTGCAACACCACCAGCAGCAGCTCTGGGGGCGTGGCCAGGCGGGAGGGGCCGCGAGGGGGCGGGGCCTTCAGCAGGGCCAGAGAAAGAAGTGGAGCTCCAGCCGGCTCGGGAGCCTCTCCCGCCGCCGCCGCCGCCGCTCTCCTCCGCCTTGGAGAGTTGGGGGGAACTAATGGGCATCGCAGTCCAGCCGCAAGCCGCTTCGGTGCCGGTCTGCCGCCTGCGCTGTGGCCGTCGGTTGCCTTCGCCGGAGGCTACCCCTGCGAGCGGTGGGATCGCACTGTAAGATGTAGGATGCTCCCGGTGCCGAGAGCCAAGCGGCGGCAGCCTCTCCTGTGGCCCGGGAATGCGGAGCCCCCAGCGCCGCCGTGGATTTGGATGGTCCCGAGCGCGGCTGGGCTCTTTCGGGTCGGGGGCGCCGCCGGCGTGGTGCCCCCTCCGCTCCTGCTTTCCTCGCCGCCTCATCCGCCCCCACCACCTCCTGCCCCGCTGCTCCAGGGGGTTTCGGGCTGGCAACTTCCCTGCGACCCTTTCCTGCCGTTGATGGCACCGGAGCACCATTCCGCCGTGCACCAGCTTCCCTTCTTGAACGGACAGGTAAGGATGCACCCTGTTCTCATTCAAACTCCCCCTCCCTTTTCTGTGCTGTTTATCAGAGCTTCTGGTTGCTTTAATGGGGCTCCTGTTGGTAAAGCGAAGGATATGTATGTATGTACTTCGAGATTCCCTCTTTGCACCCATTCTTCTCGTGACGATCGGTAAAAACGGCGCTAAGGGGGAAGAGGACATTACAATTCCGAGGGAAGGCAGCGACGAAGCGAGCGAGTGAGAGAGGGAAGCAACTTCTGTCGCTGTCCGAAGCGCCGCGGTGCTGAAGTTAGCCTGTATATTTCGCCGCTGGCGGACGTGTGTCTGCGCCTCGGGTTCGGATTCAGAACTGCGCCGCAGCTCCTCCAGACTTTAACGACAAGGAGCGAGAGAAAGACAGACAGGAGACTACATTAACTATTAATACGACCCTATCACTAATGCTGACCTCTTTCTTTTTCACTCATAAACGAAACAGAGTGCAAATTTTTGAGCTGAACCTGCGCAGACTTCTACAAAATACTCCCCCCACACACCCAACATTGCTTCTGTAACAAGACTGCAGCTTTCTGACATGTCATAGGTTATTCTTTGCTCATTTATACTAATATATATATCAATTGACTCCATAGGACTACAGTAGTGTGCTTTTCCTCTCCCTTCCTGCTAATTCCTGTTGATATCTTAATATTGGCATGAAAAGTTAGATCATATATTTCACAGTAGCAGCGCAGTGTTTGTTCTGAACATTTGGAACACATTTAGAAGTGTTTACTGGGGAAAACTCAATTAAAAGACTGGAATGGCAGGAATCTACTGCAGATGAATCCCAATCCACAGACTGGTCCATGATCTGAAGGCTGTTCTTGTAATCCACAGTGAAGCATTTATTTCACATAGCATATAACCTTCCATGTAACCAGGAGCTTGTCAAAATAAAAGCTACAAAAAGCTGTTCTGCTATTGCAACCAATTTGCATTACCATTTTAAGACATAAGTTCCCCTCCTGTTTTAAAAGATTAGCACATTGGACGAGCTGGTGTGTTCATTAAATCTATATCGCTTTTTACAGTATTTGTGCCTGCACCATAAGAATTTCTCAAGGTGTATAATAGGGTGGCTTTAAAACAAGATGTGTTGCAACATCACTCCTTCCCCCAGCTGTTGTGTCAGGATGCTGCCACTAGAGGTATTTAACATCTAAGAACTTGGGTTTCCCTTCATGTTTGAAAATGTACGGAATATTTATTTTAATTAGGAAGAAGGTGGCTGGCTGTTTATGACTGTGATTACCCCTTCCCGTCATTTTGAATTTGTCACGAACAATGTCTGCTAAATATAAAGAAAATGTTAACACAAGCAATTAAATTCAGTGTCTTCTGCTGTGATATTCTTTGTTGTTCACTAACAGATATTAACTGGTCTTGATCACATATTCATTTCAGCAATACATCTCATCCACCCTTCTGATATGAATATTTCTATTACTCATCAGGATCATAAAGCAAATTTAAAAGTAGTTGTGGATGTTCAGCTTGGAAATTAGCCTCAAGTATTTTAACAAATGCATTATACTTGATGGACTATACTAATTTTTGTGGTAGTTATGGATGGTGTTTAATTCTTGACAGAGATTTAATATTGTTTTGTTTAAAATTCTGGGCTTCGTTCTTTGGATAGTTTTCAGTTTTTTATTGGAATGTCAAAGCTAGAAGCGTTTTCTGGTACTTGGTAGTCAGTCGGAATAAAGCCTGATGGTGGGTGGAAGCACACACGCTGGTACTGAATGAAAATTCATTCATTTGCAGAATTGTGAAGTCAAGGTGAAATGTAGGAACATTCTCCTAACATGGACATACATCCATGTTTCAAAACAGCAAGGATTGTGGGAGAGAGATTAATCTGTTTTGCTGCGCTAGAAAAGCTTGCTTGCTAAACGTGAGATTCCTTGGAATCTTTTTAAAAAGTTACAGTCTGTTGGTGCTGTCTGTCATTTACATGGATGGGTTTCCAAATATAAGATTAATTTGTGGGATTGACTTCTAACAGTCTTGTTCTCTGAGTCACTGTTGTGCAGGCAAACAAGAAGTTTAGGATGTGATGCAGCCATTGTTGCACCTGTGAAGGGGCATGACCTGTAGCTTCATGCTGGCAGTGAAATCTCGCTGTCTTAGGACATCACACCAGCACTGCTGTCATGACTACAGACACAGAAGCTAGTACTGTCAGATGCACCAGCAGCACCAAGCAAGCTGTTGTGTAGCACAAAATGAGACAGAAAATAGACCATGATGAAGCTGTGATGGGGAAATGAATGAAGATGACTCCTCTGTCTCTAAGATTCTCACTAGATTCCACCCAACACAGAATCCAAAGTATGTACTTCAGTAAGGTAGAATAGTTTCCTGAAGTCACAGGCAAACTAACAGTGCAATTCTACACACACTTACATTGGAGTAAGCCATATTCAGTACAGTGAGACATATTTCTGTGTACAGTTCCTTATCATTGCACTGTCATAATTTCTATCCACACCAGTTTAGTGAGACTCTGGCTGATCTCTACTGACCTACAATGTTTGCTGTATTTAATATTATGTTTAAGATTTTGTGCATCTTCATTTTATTCACAGACATAGGGGTATTCTAGTATACATCTGATGTATAAACAGTAAATCAACATGCATGAGAATTCTGTGTAGTGCACTTGCAAGTACACAGATTGGCAATATCAGTTAAAACCCGAACAAGAAAAAAGGCAAAATTTTTATGGATTGATTTATTGTAGCATACGTTTAATTTAAAAAATCTTTATTTTAGTGGATGTTTGGAACTCATTCTCCAGCCGTTGGATTTTCACCATCATCGAACTTGGAGTTTGTTCCTCTTTTTCCCCATGTGTATACAACTACTGGACCACATCATTCTGGAAAAAGTTGGACGGAAAAGAGGTTACCAAATTGCAAAGTAAGTTTAAAGTTTGCTTTAAAAAGTTTAATTTTTATAGCTAATTTTGGAAAATATAGCTTCTAAAAACAAACAAACCGTAGCATGCTTTAGCTACAGTAGTGCAACTAGCTGCACTAATCACTCACTCACACACACACACACAGATTTATATCTTTCCCAAAGGGACCAAAGCAACTCCCAAGAACAACAACAATACAATATAAATAAATCAGACAAACTTTACAATAAATAAATGCATATTCTTTAAACAGAACAAGACCCCTAGGACTGATTGGGACTCCATAGCTGACTCGTCCAAGGGATCCAAGGGTTGTAAACTATGGGATGAAGGTCAAGAATAATATTACTCTTGACCTTTGATTTGCACCCAAGGGTTTGTGTTTCTGGCCATGCCCAAATTACATAGTAGCTGAAAGGAAGGTATAGTAGCTGAATAAAACTCAACTTAGCCCAGATCGAACTTGGCTGTTGCTAGCTTACAGGCCAGGAAGTCATCAATATTTTCCAGTCGCCAGCCCCGCCGCCGGAAAATTTATTCTGCTTTTCAGATGAAAAATGACTCCAAAATGGCTCAGAAAAGTCAAAATCCAATACAGATTACATGTGAAGTTAAATTTTAAATGTTCTTTGAGAACAAACAATGAGGGAAGCTTGGCTGGCATTACCTCTTATTCTGATGGCCCTGGTGATGGCAACTCATCTGGAGTTGAACATAAGTCTAGATGGACTCTAATGACATTTCAGATGTTATGTGAGGATTATAAAAATCCCAGCCCTATCCAGCTATTAGAACCAATTCAGGTTTGTTCGTACACTGTCTCACAGGTCTCTGCCATCTCATGATGTATGTCGCAAATTGCTCCTTTGAAAGTGCACCAATGACAAGCACTTCTACATGGAAAACTAGCTTCTTTTCTACCTTTTTCTGACTCTGGTCTTCAGTTAGTTATGTATGGGGCAGCAAGCTTTTGAAATAGGGATGCTTCCAAGCTAGCTCCATGTGTGGAGTTGACTGAGTCTAGGCTCGGCAGGGGTTGGGGCTCGCATTGTCTCTTTATGAAAGGTCTGGTATTAAGAACTGCACAGGTGTATAATTTTGTTCCCAAAAGAAAATATTGGTTAAAGACCAATAGATTGTGGATGGGACTCAGTGAACCTGGATACAGAGCCTGAGCCAGCTTGGTGTAGTGGTTAAGAGTGGCAGACCTTAATCTGGAGAACCAGGTTTGATTCTCCACTCCTCCACATGAAGCCAGCTGGATGACCTTGGGCAAGTCACAGGTCTTTCAGAGCTCTCTCAGCCCCACCTCCTCACAGGGTGTCTGTTGTGGGGAGAGGAAGGGAAGGTGATTGTAAGCCACTCCAAAACTCTTTTGGGTAGTGAAGAGTGGGGTACAAAACCAACTCTTCTTCTTAGTTGGTCTTCTGAGTTTTCATCTTCAAACAGTAGACCTTTGTGACATATTACAAATAGCTTTTAAATGCCCCCCCCCCCACATTGTAATTTAAAACAGCTTGGCACTAGAAGCTGCCATTGGAGTAGACTCTCTTGGGTACATGTAACCATTTGTGCAGTTCTTTAGATATATCAACAGTTCCCTAAGAGCCTCTTTTCATATTACAAAGGCCATGTGTTTGTTGAGCAAAAATACAAAGGTTTTGAAGCAGACATTCAAAGAGAGTTTTATGCCTTCCAGCCTCACATGTGCCCTTTTCCCTAAGAGGCTGGGGAGCATGGGCAGAAGAGGCTGCAGCATTCCCCCTGATGCTGTTTTCTCTTCCCAATATATCCCCATGGAGCAGCTACTGGATCCACAGCAGAACTTATGTGCAGCCATATAAGTAATTTGATTTCACAAAAGGAGCCAATAGTGGTTCCATTGGGTGGTTTGGGGAGGAGAAAACAGCATGGAAGGTTAGGATGCAGCTGCTTCTGCTCATGCATCTATGGCACAAGAAGGGCATCCATGAGTCTGGGAGACACAAAAGCTCCCACCATTGAACATTTGCTTCATAGTCCTTATAGAAGCATGGGGCTGTGGTGGCTCAGAGGTTAAGACACTGAAGCTGCAGACCAGAAGATCTGTAGCTCAGCAGTTTGAAACCTTAGTGCCACGTGACAGAGTGAGCTCCCATCTCTGGCCCCAGCTCCTGCCAACCAAGCACTTCGAAAGCAAGAAATTGCAAGTAGATAAATAGGTACCGCTTCAGTGGGAAGGTAACCTTGGCATTTAGTCATGCCGGCCACGTGACCATGGTGAAGCCTTCGGACAGCACTGGCTCTTTGGCTTGGAAACAGAGATAAGCACCATCAGACCTGAGTCAGATTGAGGTGACGAGAGAGAAGGTTCTAAAACTGATAGACAACTTAAAAACTGATAAATCACCAGGCCCAGATGGCATACATCCGAGAGTTCTGAAAGAACTCAAATGTGAACTTGTGGATCTCCTTACAAAAATATGTAATCTTTCCTTAAAATCTGCCTCCATTGCTGAGGACTGGAAGGTAGCTAATGTCACTCCCACCTTTAAAAAAAGTTCCAGAGGAGATCTGGGAAATTACAGGCCAGTCTTTCTGACGTCTCTAGTATACATCTGATGTATAAACAGTAAATCAACATGCATGAGAATTCTGTGTAGTGCACTTGCAAGTACACAGATTGGCAATATCAGTTAAAACCCGAACAAGAAAAAAGGCAAAATTTTTATGGATTGATTTATTGTAGCATACGTTTAATTTAAAAAATCTTTATTTTAGTGGATGTTTGGAACTCATTCTCCAGCCGTTGGATTTTCACCATCATCGAACTTGGAGTTTGTTCCTCTTTTTCCCCATGTGTATACAACTACTGGACCACATCATTCTGGAAAAAGTTGGACGGAAAAGAGGTTACCAAATTGCAAAGTAAGTTTAAAGTTTGCTTTAAAAAGTTTAATTTTTATAGCTAATTTTGGAAAATATAGCTTCTAAAAACAAACAAACCGTAGCATGCTTTAGCTACAGTGGTGCAACTAGCTGCACTAATCACACACACACACACAGATTTATATCTTACTTTCCTTCCCAAAGGGACCAAAGCAACTCCCAAGAACAACAACAATACAATATAAATAAATCAGACAAACTTTACAATAAATAAATGCATATTCTTTAAACAGAACAAGACCCCTAGGACTGATTGGGACTCCATAGCTGACTCGTCCAAGGGATCCAAGGGTTGTAAACTATGGGATGAAGGTCAAGAATAATATTACTCTTGACCTTTGATTTGCACCCAAGGGTTTGTGTTTCTGGCCATGCCCAAATTACATAGTAGCTGAAAGGAAGGTATAGTAGCTGAATAAAACTCAACATAGCCCAGATCGAACTTGGCTGTTGCTAGCTTACAGGCCAGGAAGTCATCAATATTTTCCAGTCGCCAGCCCCGCCGCCGGAAAATTTATTCTGCTTTTCAGATGAAAAATGACTCCAAAATGGCTCAGAAAAGTCAAAATCCAATACAGATTACATGTGAAGTTAAATTTAAAATGTTCTTTGAGAACAAACAATGAGGGAAGCTTGGCTGGCATTACCTCTTATTCTGATGGCCCTGGTGATGGCAACTCATCTGAAGTTGAACATAAGTCTAGATGGACTCTAATGACATTTCAGATGTTATGTGAGGATTATAAAAATCCCAGCCCTATCCAGCTATTAGAACCAATTCAGGTTTGTTCGTACACTGTCTCACAGGTCTCTGCCATCTCATGATGTATGTCGCAAATTGCTCCTTTGAAAGTGCACCAAAGACAAGCACTTCTACATGGAAAACTAGCTTCTTTTCTACCTTTTTCTGACTCTGGTCTTCAGTTAGTTATGTATGGGGCAGCAAGCTTTTGAAATAGGGATGCTTCCAAGCTAGCTCCATGTGTGGAGTTGACTGAGTCAACCATCCTCCAATGTTCATTTCCTCTGGTCTAAGATGCCTTTGTCAGCTAAGGCTGCCATGGGATGGAATGTGTGGGTTGCTCTTCTTGTCTCCCTCCTCCCTTTCCCCCTTTTCCCTTCGGCTGTGTGCTGTTATCTGTCCATTGTCCTTGAAGGCTTTACACTGCCTGCTCCTAGCTTCCCACTGGGAATGTAACTGTTGCTTGCCTATTGGCTTTACTGTATCAGGGGGTCATGTATGAAGGTGCTTGCCTATTGGCTTTACTGCATCAGGGGGTCATGTATGAAGGGGATATATTTGAAGGTTCAAATCATTAGCCCGCCATTCCTGACACAAGTGTTCATGGTGTCCCGAGTACTAGCTCTCAATAAACTGAAACTTTTGAAGGAACATTGCTGAGTGTCTTGACTGGGAAGCCTGACAGTGTCAGGAATCTACCATTGCCTCTACCCGTATCTCTCCCAAAGATGAGCGGAGAAGAGGAACCAGAGGTGCCGGTTACTACTGATGTCCTAGTACCCACCACCACCCCATCGGTGACCACTCCAGCCACTACCACCCTCCGGTCACCATTCCCCTGACTCTGGTGCCGGTGTCGGGGCCTGAAGGAGGAGTGGTTCCTCGGCTGTTCGGATACATAGTAAAGCCTAAACAATGGGGCCTGTTCAAAGTCGAGACCCAGGAGTTGTGGATGCTGACTCCTGCCCCACGGAGCGGGAGCTGCTACAACTACAGACTCTCGCAGGGGTACCCTCGACAGGACCTGGCTGAAGAGGGAGGCTGGGAGGAGCAGCTCACATGGATTGAGTTGTCCCAGGCCAAGACGACCTGCATGCTCGAAGAAACCTTGCTGGATGTCCCAAGACTGGTGGCCAGGTGGTGCAAGGAGAGATGATGTTGCTCCATCCCAAGCCCCCTGCAGTGCCACTGCCACTGCCACCTCCCCCTCCCGTGAATTTGCCACTGGGACCTCTGGGAGAACCAGCTCCTGCCCCCAGACCACAGGAGCCCCTCCAAGGGAACACCAGCCGGAGAAGCTGTTGGAAGCCACTTTCGACAGGACCCCAG